AGACCAGGGGGCACACGTCCTGGGATGCTGTTGAAGTGAATACCGCTATGTCGACCTTGCGTGTGCAGGGCTCAGCTGAAGTCCAGACCGGCTTGGATCTGCCCGAGCCGGAACCCATAGCTAGCTCCGACCCATCGTTCAGGCTTAGTGATCTGTCCGCAGTGGAGACAGCTGAAGCCATAGAGGCTGCATATAACAAATGTGTTCACTGTCGCCCGAATGCTTTCTCTGTGCCGTCTGGAAATATTGGAAGACGATTTATCACTACCTTGACATCGTTCTATTCCTGCTTCGGAGATGGGGGATCGTATTAAATGATCGCACTCAAGATTGCAGACGTCTACCAGATGCTATTAGACACCCTTAGCAAAAAACGTTATGTTGTAACGGTATTATCGTAAGGGGGAAAATACCGTGATTTAGGTTCGACCTTTAGCAAGATGCACGCTATTTTTAGAACGCTGTTGCCTTTGATTTCGTGCGGTACAACCATTTTTGTCACCATATACGCGATACAAGGTGAAATGCGTACGGACTATGCAATATTTGGCTAAAACACGTACCGTTGGTCACAACGATAAATCAGCCCCCATAACGTTTATACGCTGCAGCTTCAACGCTATTTGGGTGATCAAGGTACGAGTACCGTAAAAAATAGCGTTACCGTTGTTTGCTAAGGGTGTCTAATGCTGCAGAAGCCGGACTGTGAAAATAATAAAATTAATTCCCGTAGCTATGCAGAAGACGTTACTTCAGTAACGTCTGGCGCTAGCCAGGGTCCACACAGCTTTAATTCCCGTAGCTATGCAGAAGACGTTACTTCAGTAACGTCTGGCGCTAGCCAGGGTCCACACAGCTTTAATTTGGTATTTGTGTGTTTGTGTGTTTGTTTGTTTTTGTCACGCCTGGCGCTATCCCGTATCTGTCCCGTACTGTACCGTACCAGCAAAGACAACTGGCCACAATATTTTTGTTTGTTTGTGCCATCGGCATGCCTGGCGCTATCCCGTACCTGTCCCGTACCATCAAGAGTACGGTACCAACAAGAGAATGAGTATATATGCGAAGTGTATCGGGGGAATGCATTCAGTGGAGTAACATTTTGTGTGGATTTGTGTGCGAGGCCGAGATCCCACTAGCAGGCTGGCTGGGCCGCCTGTCGACCAGCCCAGGAATCGCATGTAGGCGTATAGCATAATAATTATAACGTTTATACAGTCATGTAGATGTATAGCAGGGAGTCATATTATGTAAACGATTCCCTGCTGTATGGGGAGATTTCCTGGAAAGAAATACGAAGTAGGGAGACGAGTAAATGCAATCAGAATGGATGTTAGTTGCCGTCAGTATAATAATAAGAAGAAGATAAACTTCCGTGATCGGCAGAGTCAGCGCCGGTCCCAGGAAACGTCAGGACAGACATCCCGTCGACTCCAGAACGCCCGTGATCGGCAGAGTCAGCGCCGGTCCCATAGCTATGCAGAAGACGTTACTTCAGTATCTCATTGAAACGTTTTTGCAATACAATGATGTAGCTAATCAAAGGAAAAAGCATTTCCATCAGTTCTAACAACATGCACGAGGAGCTAGGCAACAAAACATAGCGCAGGGCCCTGAGCTTCCAAGCTCTCTCGTTTGGTGTTTGTTTGTGTGTTTGTTTGTTTGTGTCACGCCTGGCGCTATCCGTATCTGACGGCAAAAAAGCATAGGATGTTAATAATTTTTCAATTCTCCTTTTTTCAGGCATCCTGGGATTCGAACCCGCACTATCGCCCTACATGCATTCCCCCATACACTTCGCATTCATACCCATTCTTCCAAGTTGCTTCACGTTATTATCTTGCGTCTGAAAGCCCTATTTGAATATTGCGGGCAGCTGTATGTGGCCAGCTGTGTTTGATGGTACGGTACGGTACGGGAGACGGTGTCGTATTACCCTCGATCGTACCTGTCCCGTCCCTATCCCCTACCGTACCGTGCCATCAAAGACGGCTGGCCACAATGCATATTCAAATAGGGCTTTCAAATGCAAGATCACAATGTGAAACAACTTGGAAGAATTAGTATGTATGCGAAGTGTATCGGGGGATGCATGCAGGGCGCGCGATAGTGCGGGTTCGAATCCCAGGTTATGTCTTAAAAAAAGGAATTTTTTTAAAGAATTTATAACATCTTGAAAACACCGCCATTCCGGCAACAGGCTCTCAGCTGCACCAAATAAATAACTTTGCCAATATTTCGCCCATTGGGCATCATCAGGGCATTGAGGAAGGGGAGGCCAAATTACGAAATATAAAGACGAATAATGCAGGCAGATGAATGTTCTAGAACTAACACATCATGGTGACACAATTGGCAAGGCCAGCAAACTAAACAATCATCACTTGTAAGGTGACCTAAACAAAACGAAAGATGAGAAAACTCACACATACACACAGACACAATTTGGCAAGAAAACTAACACTAACACTAAAGTTTACAATCATCACCTGTAAGGTGACCTTAACAGAAGAAAGAAGACTAGTAAGACTATCACAGCACGTACAAGAACACTTTCAAGTGTGGGAATGCTAAAGGCGATCTATGTATATGACAGCGGTGTATGTGCAAAGTACATACACCCACAACGGTAACGGAAAACCATGCTAGGACCAGAGGAAAGCATCTATTGCCTGAACTTCTTCATATGAAATGAACAATACCCTTCTCCATAGAGACAACATGCAGATGAAGTGCATGGACAAAATAATAATAATAGGCCATTCACTGAGGGCATGGAATGATCTCTACGTGTAGATTGGATAGACAAATGCACGTCTGCAAGGAAAGCATTTGTTCATGGGTTAGTTCATGGGCTGATTGAGTTCACATGGACTAAGTTCATACATGCCATCTCTCCTGAGATATGTTCAGCAAAAAATTCAAAACATACGACATTATTTCGTTCGCTAATCTCCGCTACTCGTCGTCTCACCTGGCTTCAGAAGATGTTACGAGAGATAGGAGAGTCTCCAGCAGGCAGCGCATCCATCTTCAGGAAGTGGAAAGAGCAAACGGCATGGTCCTTGGTTGAGGTAAATGCTGAAAGTTTGATTTGTCCCAACCAAGATTTCAGCACTTGGTTCGTCACGATTTTCGCTTGCCAGCTAACGTCTCCGCACTCCAGCTTTCCCCTGTCGGTGTCACGTCCCAGTACACAACGGAGAGGACTACTAATAAACAGTTCACGGCACTAACAGCCTTGAACACAGTACTTCTTTCACTTCGTGAATACAAGAAGACAACTGAAAATGACACAATTCTTCAGTGATCGACCTTCTCTCTCACCATGCTCACGGAGCTAAGCAGAATGTGCGTCATCACCTGTAGTCGCCATGGAAACGGGATCAGGAAATCGGCGATATGGCAAGTTTCCCTTGCCGTACGCAAGCGAGAGATATACCATCGGAACCGATATCCAATTGTCTTTCATCTGAGCCCTACTTGAAAAATCGATGCACTTCCCCTTTAAACAAAATTTAAATTGGAGGCAAAGCGCGTGCCAGACCACCACCCTGTCACTGTGTAAACAATTCGTAACTGTGTGGAAGATGTCCTGGTAGCGTCTAGAGCCAGTAGAGGTGTATCACTTTGGAGTCGCATTGCCATAATATAGCCACATTGCCACATTGAAGTGTACATTTGGCACTACGCCTTTTGACTTCGGCCTTTTAATGCCATAATATCGGTAGTGGCTTCAGATGGCGGGGTTGATGGTGAAGAGACCAGGCCTTGCAATGCAGATGCACTGTACTGAAGTGTGCATGTGCTCCAGTATAGTAGTTACCACAAGCAAATAGCGCGAGTTCTTCGCACAGCAGTCAGCATCTGCCATGTCTTTCGGACGCGCCCCAAGTGTCAGCTACGATACAAGCTGTCCACAGACACAGGTGACAACACAACACCCTACGCTACAACCTAGACAAGCCGTGATCCATAGCTATTAATGTTTGTGGCTAGGCGCCCGGCGGATAGTGCTAGCTTTATATCTAGAATAATTAGCACTTTCTGAAAACTAGCATTAAAAGCAAAAAAAGGAATTATCCTGTCCGTTCTCGAAGGGAACTCACGACGGCCGGTAACACCCGGTAAACCCTAGCGGCAGATGCAGCGCCTAACGGTGGGAGTGAGTGGATAAGTTTCACAACCACTAGCACTAGCATTTCGCTAGCATACTCCCGCAAGTTTTGCAGAAAACTAGCATCTTCTTGCGAAAACTAGTACACAAGGCAGAACAACAGAGACCAAAAAGCTTTCTCGTTACTCCGAGTTTCGTGTTCAAAAACACTCGTCAGACGGATTAGTACATGACATTGTATCATATTATGGTTATGCTGCAAGATACATGGTGTTATGAATCTGAAACATTAGTCATCTATACTATTACATGTATTTCCATTTTTCGAAGCAGAATTGAAGCATTCAGTGCTACTTTGGAGCAGAATAGCATTCAGTTGGATTTTGGAGCATATTGAAAAGCAGAATCCATTGAAAAAATTCTCGAGCATTATCCGCTGGAGCCTACGGAAGAAAGTTGTGGCTACTACTAGTCCAACATGTAGATTTACGTTATAACTTCTTTATTCCTGGTATCTTCAGCAATTCCTGCGCCTTCTCAAGGCAATCCAGTAGATCTACTGTACAATGTCATACATTTTAGCTCTCACACGCCTGGATTGGTGGTTGCAGGTAGTCTAGAGCGCTGCTGGATCCGTGCTATCAATGCCTCGCGTTTACCCGACCACATGTCTGGCAGTTTTGACACTTGGCTTCTAAGATATGCACCCTCAGGCTCAGGGCAAGCGTTCGCATTTCTTGTCTCTGCTCACGTGCCGTGGTAGTTAGTTACAGCACATTGTATTGTAGTGTCAACATGACCTGAGACTGATATGAGGTCCGCGAGTGTGAATTGCCGCTCCACCTTCGCATCACCTGCAATAAAATGAATGAGTATGTCCCAATCCACATAGTCGTTTCCCTAGGGTAGAGGTGATTTTAGAATAAGGCTTAGATGCCTAGTAAACGTGCCTG